CGCGGCTCGCGGCGAGGGGGGACGCTCCTAGCGGGAACCCGGCTGAGCCGTCTCAGTGCACATGAGTGATTTGATTGCCGGGTTTCTCCGGCGTGTTTCTGGCCCAGGCAGACGCGATGCAGGGAAAGTTATTCAGTCATGGGTGAAAAACATTACGGGTAAGTCTCTGCTCTGAATTACACTGGGGTAAATCCACTGAAGGGTAACTCAATTGAGATCAATGGCCCAAATTTTGCTTTTTCCCTTACTCCAGAAAAGGGCCTGTGTAATACTTCTGCAGTCACAAGTAATATCTCTGATTTTCACAGCTGACAGGCAAATCCAGCCCACTGCGTTTCCAGGATTTTGTGCATTGTGTTCTCTGAAACTAGTATTTCAGTGAGATTATTTCGCATGAAACCATTTTGCCATCCCTCCCTCGCCTTGCTGTGTAACCAGTGCGGCAGGCTGCTTTTGTAACCCTGGGTCTTCTAAGCAAGCAGAAAGACAACAAGCTCAGAGGAAAAGACGTGTCGGGGGAGCCGCAGGACTGGGGGGAAACGCGCAAAGCGGGAGGCCGAGGTGGTCATCTCCTGCAGCACTTTTCCTTTTACCTTAAAGTGATTCAGCTCTGGCGGCGCTCATTAAGGAAGGAAGGAGCGAAGGTGGACCTCGGAGGCCGCTAGTTACACGGAGCCCACGTAGAAGGTGGCGTTTCCACCGGGCCCCTCCGGACGGCTGAACGGGAAGCGTTCGGGGCGCTAAGCAGCCTGGAAACAACCCGTGGCGCAAAGCCGCCAGCAGACGAGGGCAATCTAGGAGCACTTTGCTGAAGTGGTTTTACACTCTAATCAAAGGCAGAGAGCAGCTGCTGTGTCTCCATGCAATTACAGACAGAGGGAACAGGTAATTCATGAGAAAAATGGAAACTCAAAGGATATTCCTGCTGTCGAGCGGGTATCCGAAAACGGGCACCTCCGGGCAGAAGCAGTTCATCGAAAAGGCTTCGCCGCTAGCTGCGGGGAGCACAAAGTTAACCCTGACTCACAAGCTCCGTCACCTCTTTTGGTGACAGTCCATCTACAAATGATTAATAAAGACATAAACATCGCTTCATGGACATGCCAAGCATGTTGGAGGCATGACTAGCATGTACTACAGGCAGCTAAGAGGACATCGGAAGTTGTTATGCCTCAGTCTGCAGCAGCAAAAATAGCCCCAGAGATTGTAAACAGCGGTTTATTGAGCTGTTGGGTTCTCTGGCAATTAATTCTCCATTTATTAAAACATCTATTCATCATTTATTTACCCTTCATGTGCTATTTATAAGTATGTTCTTAATAAAGTGTGACTAGGTCTTAACAGAATTGCATCGCTGTGGAGAGGATCCAGAGCCCATCGCTGTCAGCGGGAGTCTATTCATACAGACTTACGTATCTTCCCCATCTTTTTGTACTACGGCTTCTCTGTCTCTATTTGTTTCTGTCTCTCTTTCACTCTCCTGGGATAACACCATCTTTCAATCCACCCTGACACATTCGTTTCCTGAGGGCAATTTAAACTGAGAATGATTCCCTGATTGCTCACTTTTCTACCTCCTCTCTTATTCTGCAGGGTTTTTTTTTTTGAAGGATCATAAAATAACATGTTTAGAAATAATTGCGTGATAGGGATGTTTTCCTGCCATGTGAGCATTGCTCATTTCCTCTCGAGACAATATATCCTCAGCACGTTTTCAAGGAAGGCTTCCCATGATAGAGACAGCAGGCTATCCGGGGCTTTGGCACGGACGGGGTGACGGGAGCGGCTGGGCAAGGCGATCCGAGCTGTCACGAGCCCTCGAGGAGCCGGGGGCACCAACGCTGGGTGCCAGCAGCAGGGATCCTGCAGCCTCTCCCCCTCCGCGCGGGGCGGGCCGGGGTGAGATGTGGTCACTGGGATCAGAGCTGATTCGGTATTAGGCACCTCCTCATTCGCTTCCCTTTTAGGGACGCCAATTTGCTGCCACCAGGGGAAACGGCCCCTGGCTTAAGCGACAACCTGCTCTGAGCCCTGCATTGATTTATTTTGCGGGTTAGCAAGCAAAGCGAGGGGCAGCCAAGCCCGAGGCCAACCACAAGCCGGTCCAAGGACGGGATGCAAAACACCCGACTTCCCCTTCAACCACAAAACCTACTCCTGGAAGCGGGACCAGCACCCACACACCAAGCCCCTTCCCCAGCACTGAGCTACTTTCTCCGGGAGCCGGCAGGGACAGCGGCCTCTCCGCGCCGGCACGCTGACCCCGCGCTTCCCGCTGATCCCACCCGAACATCGATTCCACTCGAGAGCTCAGGAGCATTTCTGTTTAGCTGTAAATTTATATGTATTAGATTAGATTATATATTGCAAGTGCAAATAAACCCCATGCATTGCCCAATAGCTGTTTGATTTAGTCCTCAGCAACGAGCAGGCATACTTTAAAGCAACACCTACGGAGAGACAAGAATCATGAACAGGTCTGTGGTTCCTCTTACTCTCTTACCTTTTACAGACCATCCAGATACCATTATCTCCTAATAAATATCCCCTCTGACACAGTCATCATGTAACTCATTACAGCCTCTACAGTGCATGAATTATGTGGCTAAGGTTCATATAACTATGAAGATATTTATGGCAGTCCATACTGTTTCTTAGGAAAATATTGATTTGTTAATAACTGAATGACTATATAGCCATTAAATCAGACCGGTCTATTGTACACTCTTGGCATTAACGAAAGAATACGTTTACTTTTTACATTTTTATTTTATATGTATTTTATTTGTGAATTGCGGAGAGGAGAGTAAAAGAGGGCAGGCACAGAGAAGCAAGCTTTTGCTCCTGGAGTTTTCTCTGCAAAATCTAAGCAGGGATCTCTCTGCCCCCCTTAAACAGCCATGCAGGGACTGATTATTTTGGGGGATCAAGAGCAACTCTCACGAGTCGGGGGCATTAGGAATGGCTTCGCTGAAGGTGGTGGAAGTGGAGTCACACAGGATCTTGGGCACCAGCTTAAAACCTCCCTATTTGGGCCTCTCTAATTTTGAAGGCAATGGGACTGATTCTTCCCCCAGCCCTTGCCCTGCTGAGGGCAGTGCTGCTACCTCAGGTTTATGCAGCTGTGACAGAGGGAAGAATCTGCCCTACTAGGATTTTTTGGAGGTGGAGAGAGACAGGGGATCACAGCATCATCTAGGAACTTCTGAACTGCTAAAATGAGGCTTGTAGTTCACCATTCTAGTGTTAAGGCCTCAGATAACAGTGCAGGCAGCAAGCGTGGATTTTTTTTGTTTTAAAAAGATATACAACTTACTTCTTTTATTGATTGCTTGCTTTTCATTTTATATCCTTTCCCCTTGCCTGAAATAAGGCAAATGAGTCCTTGCCACAGGCTCTAAACTTTATACTCCGGCACTATCTCCTCCCTTATCCAACGGGAAGCGAGCAGTAGAGCCGTGCCGCATCATGCGCCCTGCTAAACCCCTTATGGCTTTTATTCTACAGAAGAGAGGCAAATCCTAGCAACTCGTTAACAACAACGAGGTTTTACAGAGCATCTTGCATCCTCGGGCAAAGAGCTGCCCAGCACACTTGACGGGCCGTTTCGCCCGCTGCTTGCAAAAAGCCCCGGTCGGGCCAGGGGCAGCAGCTCCCGGCAGCACCAGCGCTTGGACCGCAGGGACTTACATGAGCTGCTGCTCCAATTTAGGGGGGCATTTGTCATGACTGTATCTCATCACCTCCGCCCACAGCAAGCTGTCTGAGTTTTTTGTTTTTGTTTTTTTAAATGACAGGAAGTAAAGGAAAGTATTTCATCAGTTTGCGAGGCCCCTGCCAGCCTGCTGCACCCCTGGCTGCGCAGTGCCAGGGCGAGGGACAAGCACCTCTGAGCCACGCAGTGCAGCAGAGTCAGACACAGGTGCACATGTGTATAGGCATATGCATACGTACCTGAGGTAGTCTCAATATCTGTTACATTTGAAAAACGTATTTCCTTTACTCTTGCACACTTTGATGTGTAAAACTAGTTACAGCAGCTGGAGAAGAGACCGTGCCCCAGGGCAGAGCCCTCCACGCCTGCCATGCCCCCCGTGCGGCGGCGCGGCGCTGCACAAAGGCCGTGCCAGCCGCCACCGCCGCCGCCAGGGCAGGACCGCGCTGCACGCTGCGCTGTTTAGCGATGCCATCTAGCGGGGCCCCAGCTGCGAAGGAGCCGCTCGTCGATCGCTAAGCAGCTCACACCTTATTATTATGCACAGCAATGCCTGAGAAATCCGATGCATCATATCAAACACTCCCTCCTCCTGCAATGAGCAAGTTTTTACACGAGGTGCATCCAGTCCCCTGTCTAATCCCTCCAGCTGCTTTACACAGACCGTGACGCAAGCAAACTCTGGATGCCCAAAGCAGCCCGCGATGCCAGGCCGGCCCAGCTGCAACTCCACCGTTTCCTCTGGCCAGGCCGGGAGAAGCACCTTGTCAGGCACTGGCTGCCTTCTTTAAAGAGTGACGGGTCAGGGCGGGGGGGGAAAGGGGGGAAAAGCCCTGCCAGGAAGATCTCGGAGCAAAATCCCCTGCAAGGGTGCATGCTGCCACTCTCCAGAGCAGCTTCTGGCCACAGGCAGAGAGCGGCGCAAGGCAGCACCAGTCCAGAGGGTAGAGAGGCACCTGCAGCACTGACCCTCTCCTTCCGCTACTTTTGCCCTTAGGTCGCACTGGATTTGCCCAGTGTGGTTCATACCGCATCCACTGCATCGCTATGCCGGCCCAAAAAGGACAGACTTGTTAGCAGAGACCGTACAAGCTCCTCCAAGCAGCCCTGGCGGGCCCCGGGGGGGACACTGTCCCTCCTCACATCTGCAAAAGCTGGAAGCGACGCTGGGGCAAGTCTCGCTTTCTGAATGCGCGTGCAGCGAGCGCAGAGGGCTCTGCCCCTTCCCTTGGCTGTCCCAGCACCACCAGATCCCTCTGCTACCGAAACGGAGAGCAAGACCTACCTCTCTCTTCTCTCCTGTGCTCTTCCTGCAGCCAGACTTTGGTCCCTTCCAGCGTCTCCTTCCAACTAGGAAAAACGTTGCACAGGTCAGCCTTTGGCCCCTGGTCTTGGCCAATGTGTGTTTGCACAGTTTAACTGTCCTCCACTGGCGAGGACTGACAGATAACTCTTAAGCATGCATGAAAGAAACAGGCACTAAGTTAAACTCCTGCTGGCGAGATGCAAACTTCCCTCCCAAGCGTATTCACGGGCTCTTCCAAAGGGCACCTTCCCTCAGCAGCTCCTTTGCCTGGGGCAATAAAACCCACGTGCACAGAGACTGGGTACCCCCATAGATGTGGGACGGGGAGCAACCCGCCCGAGGACACCGGAGATGAGGCCACCTCTCCGTCCTTAGTCTGGCACAGAACTCTTCACCCCAAACAACTAAATAGGTTCATCACTGACCAGGGGCTGGACCCCGTGGGCTCCTAGAGGAGAAAGAGAGACTGCTGAGGGCTACGGCTACTTCCCAGCTTGCCCGCTCGCTCCTGAGCCTGGGAGCGCGTGCCCCGAGACGTTTCTGCCGTCGCAAGAGGAAACGCGCGCCCCAGAAGCAGGGCTGAAAGGGCAGCGGCTTGCCCAGGGCTGAGCAGGAAGCCGCTGTTTGTCCCACGCGCAGTGCTGCTTGGGTAAACCTGATCTCTTCACCAGCAGAGCAAAAGCCAAGAGCACCTGGGCTAGGCACTGAGCATCCAAGGAAATGGCTTGTGGTGGGCAATAAATGTTTTAACAAACAGCAAGCTCAGGAAGAAAGGAAAGGCACAATGCAAGAAAGCTCTCTGATTGCCATCCAGCTTTTACTAAATGATTCATGTCCCTCCCTGCCTATTCCAGGAAGGCCCAATTAACAATGTTTTCTTCTAATCATTGCAAGATTGGAAACTTTCTGTTGCGCCCAGAGCCTGGAAGCAGGATGGGAGCCGGACTGGCACCGCTCCGTCCCACACAGGGAGAGCAGATCTGCAGGGTACCGTGAGGCCGCTGCGCACGGAGATCGCATCTCCCCTCGCTCCGCAGCCACGAGCCAGACGAGCGCGAGCCCTTGCCTGGAGCCTCTTGCAGGTCACACAGCCAGAGAGAGAGGGAGGGACGGCTGTTTTCTGCATCGCACTCAGTGCCCTGTGCACCAGCCCTTTCCCTGCTTTTGGATAGGTGCTAACCCTCGGTCCCAATGCAAACATTTCCTTGCAGGGGCTGAGCCCGTCCTGGTGGGGAGGCAGTTCCTTCCCCTGGCAGGGGGTCAGAAATAGCACAGCGGAGCTGCCAAATCCCACCCACAGCAGCCAGGGATCGGAGGACTTTCCCTTTTAGAGTGATGCAGGGAAGATCGCACAGTCGGAGCGGCTCCAGGGGCTGGATACAGCCTTACAGTGCTTGGAAAGGGGCCGAGCTCACTGGGAGTCAGACATCCCTGGAGCAGGTTGCATCAGAGCAAGCGCTGGCAGATGCCCGTGCCCGGAGCGGCCCCTCGCCTGGTGCGCTCCACCAAGCCCAAACCCAGCAAAGCTTTAGTACAACAGCACTGTCAGCAGCATTCAGATTTGAAGTTTTCCAAACATGCATTTAATTTGGAATTAATGGGATGATTTCCACCCCCTCCATGCTAATTGAAAGAAAGAAAATGATTATTAAACACAGATTCTCTACATTTTGACAACTAGATACTAAATATCCATCTCGCACATGGCTGCTAATTCCCAATAAATATGTTTCTTTCAATAACCAGCTGGTTTTAATTTAACAAACAAATAGCTGTCTGGTAAAATCCAAATTAATTGAATGTTTGGAAACCTTAATGGAAAATAGCAGTTATGTTTCAGCCCCCACCCCTGCCCTGTGCAGCCTCTCGCCCCGCTGCGGAGGGAGGTAGGCCTGCTCCTGGGCGCAGGGCAGGGAAAAGAGCTGGTGCCCTTCGCTGTGGTCACCCCAGTCCTTCCGCACAGCCCCACGAGCGCACAGAAAAACCCAACTGCTCCCACCATGCTGCCTCTCCCCTGCATTTCCAGCTCTTCCATACCTTGCACAACAATAATACTGCTGAACTCATACTATGCCAGTTTGCACAGCACCTTCCTTACTCCTGATGCCAAGTAATAGTTTGTAGCTAACTACAAGGGAATTAAAAAAAAAAAATTAGACTAGATATGAATTATCCCCCTAACCTGACTTTTCTGGCAGTAAATTGTAGCACTCTTTGCTGCCCCTGGGAGAAACAAGACAGCCAAGGAAGCAGAGTACAGACATCTTGGCTGAGAGGGAAAGCAAGGCCAGGCAGCAGTGAAACAGCTCTGCAGAAACATACCAGGTGGGGGTCCTGCCAAAAGGCCAGTGGAAAGGAGAAGTCACCACACCACAGCTCTGCCCCCAAACCAGCCCCCGCCCCTCAGTGCTTGGAGACCTTTTGTAGGCTTGTGTCATCATTAGCAACTTCCTTCTGGGCTTTTCAAAGCAAATTGTTAACAGCTGAGCTACAGCTCGCAGGTTACCTCCAGTATTGGTATCGGCCTGTTGCAAAAGCAGTCATGCTACTGCCAGCCCTGGGACTGGAGCCTGCACAGCAGGGGCGTCCGCTCTCTCAGCAGGGGAAATCTGGCAGAAAACCCACTGCAAGGAGACAGGCAGAGCTGCCCACGGTGCCACACGTTAACCCTGCTCACATCTCCACAGCCCCAGCCCTTCCAGAGAGAAAGTCCAGGAAATTACAGCAATAAAGCGTCCCCACCAATTGAACAGCTTTCTCTAGAGAATGAGGGAAAGTGGCCCAAATAGCACCTAGCAGGAAACGTAGCACTCCACAGCCTCTATCCACAGTGCAATCGCGCCACCGCTGAAGCACGGCCTTCGCTTCCCATTAACGACCCCACTGCATGCAGCAGGCATTCGCGGCTGGCACTGCTATGCCTCTGGGTTATTGTTTTAAATTTGAGTCATTACAACAAATTACTGTGCTTAGTGCCTTTCACGACATCCATGGACTCCTGTTGTCACTCAGGCACCTCCATTTGGGGTTTATATTTGGAACCAGCACAGAAAGATGCATGGCACAAAACGCACCCTGGCACGTTCACAGCCCACCCTGAAGAGGCGGGCAAGGCCACCACACCGCATTTGTCACGGCTTGTGACAGCTCAGCAGACCTGCGTGGACATGACGTTGCAGCATCACCAAAAACCTGAACAAATAACAGCCCTCACCATAAGCCCCATCCAGCAAACCGCATTGGTCCGATACCGCTCAGCACCAGGGTGACGTCAGGTAGTTTTTATTTGTTCTTACAGTCAAGGATCTCCAAGCGCTCCTTAAGTACTGCTGTTATTTATCCATTTTTTCCCCCCAATGTTTTTATGACACACTTAGATGAATAGTTACATCAAGCCCCAGTAAGGCACTCCCCACACTCCTTGGGCATCCAGCAGCAACTCAAGCCCCAGCACCTGGAGACTTGCCAGTGCATCACCAGTTCTCATCCTGCCTTAGCAGCTTTGCTGAGAACCTACCTTGCACTACCTGGCCCAGAAGGTAGAGTTTGGAGTTACCACGTGATGCCCCAGCACTGCATGCCAGGAACCAAAGATATTAATACCTCCATTTTGCTAATGGAAAGGAAAAGGAAATAAACGCACAGAAAGATAAAGGGACTGGCTGAAAATGACAAGACAGCAATGATTCCTTTTATTTCTCTATTTAAGTGTCTGGCTCCATCACTAAAGCAGGACCAGTATGAAAATGCAGAAAGCAGCAGAGATGAGGGGAAGGTGCAGCTGCAAGTGACAGTCCAGCCATGCTCTGCCTCTCACGGCTCTTCTGGCTCACCAAAGATCAGTGGATTAA